AATAGCCTGTGCTGGCCTTAAGGACAGGTACATGGAACAATGGATAATTGCCTCCAAGGAGGTGGGAACCCAGAGGGGGCAAACCAAAGCCATGGCTGCTGTCTTACAGATGCAAAGAGAGGCTCTGACCCATACCTTAACACAGGCATTTAATTCACTTAATCTGGGACAGCAGGTAACAATGGGGCCTAGAGGGATAGAAGGCCCATGTTTTGGCTGTGGCCAGACTGGCCATATTAAAAGAAATTGCCCTCAATGAGAGAACCAGCCTAAGCCTGGAGGTGGGGTATCAAAAAGGTCCCCATCTATGCCCTGTCCCGGTGTCACAAAGGGTTCCATTTGCAGAAGGATTGTAAATCCAGATTTGATATTGAAGGAAAGGCTTTAAACTAAGTGGGTGGCAGCCTCCAGCCCCGTTGACAAAAGGAGGACTTCCTCATGATCCACTACATTTACAATGCCCTGGGGGAGGGATCAGGAGGGGAGGAAAACCTATGGTGAATTGGACAGTCCCTATTATCCCTGGTGTAAGGCCCAAGATGGATCTTGAAATAGATGGCAGGAAGTTTCACTGCCTAGTGGACACGGGGGCTGATAGGACCATTCTTAGAAAGGAGGAGGTCCCATCATGATGGCACCTAGTTTCTGGGCCCCAAATCCTAGGTGTGGGAGGATACACCCCATCAGAGGTGACTCTGAATGGCTCACCTGGCAGGATGCAGATGGAGGTAAAGGGGAGGTGTGACCCCTGGTGGTGGCAGGGTTATCCACCAACCTCATAGGACAAGATATTTGGGGGGATGCACAGGCCTGCATAACCACTGATAGCAAGGCCTTTTATGATGACCTTTTGGATTTTGAAGAATCTGATAGGCTTCCTGAGTCAGCATCTCAGGGGTTCTCTTGCCATATCAATTACAGGGGGGACCCAAAGAAAGAGCATCAGGTTCACCCCCAATTCTAAGGGCCACTGACCCTCAGGTTCTGGCTATCTGGTGGTCCCCTGGGATGCCGGTATGGGTGGAGCAGTGGCCATTGCCTGAGACAAAGCTACAGGCTTTAAAGGAAATTGTGCAGGAACAATTACAGTTGGGCCACATCCGGCCTTCTGTAAGTCCATGAAACACACCTGTCTTTGTTATTAAGAAAGCCTCTGGCAAATGGAGAATGTTGCAAGACTTGCATAAAGTCAATCCTAGAATGACCCTAGTGGGTACATCCTTAAGGGAACTGCCTTGGATCCCTGCTATTCCCTCAGATTTATTTCTTATAGTTATAGACATTAAAGTTTTTTTTCTATCCCTCTACAACCCCAGGATTGTGAAAAATTTGCTTTCTCTGTACCTTCTACCAACTTTAAAACACCTGATGAGAGGTATGAATGGACTACAGAGCTACAACAATTATTAGGAGAAATTAATTGGCTACGAGCCTGGATGCCTATTCCCACTGAGACTTTAAGACCACTGTTTCAGTTCCTAGTAGGGAAACAGCCTTCAGAACTAAGTCACCTGGCTCCTCAACACCTGGACATCTTACATGAGGTCCAGGATGCCCTGGACCGAGCCCAACTTGCCCGGTACATGCCTAGTAAAGATGTTGAGTTATGGGTACTCTCCGGTGAGACCCTGATGACATCCGTCGTTTTCAATGGGTACATGCCTCTCTGGGAGGTGTACCACGGGTTTATATACCCATGGATCAATTGGCTGACCTGATTGAGAAAGGGCATGATGTAGCTTTGAGATATTATGGCAGAGACCCTCTTAAAATTGTTATCCCTTATCGGCTTAGGGATTTTGAATGGCTCTTCAGAAATAATAACCGAGTGGCCATAGCCTTGGAAGGGTTCCTGGGAAATTTGGACTGTCATTATGGCCCTCATAAATGGGTGACCTCCTTTTGTGCCCTCTGTTGGGATGCTCCCCAGCTCTTAGGGAGCCGTTAGTAAAAGCCCATAATGTTTTCACTGATGGGAGCAGATTTGGAGCTGCAGTGGTAGTATACCCAGGGGCAGATGAGAAACCAAAGAGATATATCCTGGGGTGGAGCAGAGTGCATGGGGTTGGCGGCGAAAGCCGCCCACCCCACCAGCCTTGAACTAACATGTACGTGAGTCAGGGGCTTGCAGAAAAGCCAGGCGGGGACCGCGGCGACCGTTAGCACCTGCTGAGCGCATTTAAAAATAAATAAATAAATAAATAATTTAAAAATTAAAAAAAATAAATAACCACCTTTGGCGGTGCACTGTGACCAGCGGGTTGGCTGGGAAGGCCTGGCCGGGGAAAGTGGCTTGGGGGGGAGGGGCCCATCCCTTCTGTTTTGTGGGCAGCTGGGGTTCCACCCCGCCCCCAAGTGTTAACAGCCGCCAGCAGCAGCACTCACCAAATCTCGGACCAAGGGAGTCCTTAGTAAAGCCTACAATGTTTTCTCTGACTGGGGCAAATGTGGAGAAACCAAAAAGCAGCTCAATTCAAGGAACTCATGGCCATTGTTTTCTGACAGTATTCAGACTCCTTAAAGAGAGTATGCTCCTTAAAGAGAGAGAAGCCCTTATTTTCTTACAGCATCTTAGGGGGCACCAAGGATTGCCTGGGCTTTTATCCCAAGGCAATGCAGCGGCAGACAAGATGGCTTATTGTACCACCTCTGCA